CTTTGGAGCGCTGCCATGGGTGTTGTAGAGTTTGCAGCAGACCTGTTTTACGCATCAATACAGCAGGTGGTTTCTGAAAGTTATTAGGTTTGGTAAAATTACTGCAGAAAATATACAACAATGTACTAAAATTAGAAAAGTAAAATTTTAACTTTTGAACACTTGGATATTTCCAACATTAGTACTTTAACCTGAGTTGATTTTTGACCAAGCCACTTTTTCTTCAAGTTAAGTAAGATTTTACCACGAGTATCAATACTTTTACTCAAATACTATAGTTGAGTACTTTGTCCACCATTAGTTTGAAGGGAAATTTAAAAGCGGTGCTTTAAAACTTTAGAAGAATATCTGCAGATTCTGCTTTTTTCGAGTGAATAACCCATTGCGGGAACATTTCTTCTACAAAACTTCTACAAAAATCTGTCCGACTGTTTCGAAGTCGCTGACTTTATATACTAGAATAACCTGTCGGTTTAAAAATAAAATGCATGATAGTAACAATAATATTGGATTTTTAATGTTGCAATTATTTATATTTATTGCTTTTGCTGTTGCCTTGTTGGAAACATAGGAAGAAGCAGTCAGCTAAGTGAGAATAATAATGTTTCATCCCTTTTTAGACTGTACATTTCCAACAGTGGTGTCACAAGTACACACATTTGTTACTTAAGTAGAAGTATAGATACTGCAGTTTAAAAACACTCTGGTAAAAGTTAAATTATCAACTTGAACTCTTTACTCAACTAAAAGTGAAAAAGTAACTGTTCCAAAAGCTACTTAACGAATAAAAATATAAAGTAACCTTTAAAAAATAACAGCCAGATGCCACTATATGAACTGAAAGCTCAGTATTTCGACTATTTTGAAAAAATTCTTTGAGATGGGGCCAATTTTGTCTCTTGGTGGTCTCCGTCTCCATCTCCCGATACGCTCTCGCCTGTGTCAGACCTTTCAGACATTTCAACATCTTTTTCTGAATCCGACATTATAGCATGGAATAGGCAATTCACGTTTGCAGTTTGAAGAACACCTGCTTGCTTTTGATGATTTCCTTTAGCTAACCAATGAGTGTTTGCGTTATATGACTCATCCAATTACACTAGTTTTCACTAGATGTGGATGGAGCCAGTGATCTGCATTGAATGGCGCAAATGACGTGAAATAAATATTTATAAACATTAAACCAGGGGTAACCAATTAAAAATCAGTGGGGTCCGAATAAAGAAAATCCTCAACCAGTAAAAGTCCAGAGACACTGAAATAAAATTAAGTATTTATGCATTGATGTTATACATTGAATTCTGAAAAAAAGAGAAAAAAAAAATAGAAATTGCCAAAAATTGCATCCCATCCTATCCCAGAGGAGTTGACACTTGTATGACTGTATATCCATCAGTAGTTAAAGGACAAGGGTCAGCAAATGACATTTTAAAAATCACGTCGGCTATCACTGTTTATTGTCGTGTGTGAATAACAAGAGACTACGACCGATAAATCAGCCGTACCTCGAACAAGATCTTTGGATTAAATGTTGTTCACAACACCCGTATGGGGGATGCATATCTCGGCAGACATACACTTTTCGGCATAACACTGGACCGCGGTCCGCTAATCCATGACCTCTGCATTAAACCGAAGCCAAGAGTAACGAGTAACATTTGTTTTAAAAATGCATGGAATAGAAAGTACAGACAGTTGTGTGAAAATGTAATGAGTACAAGTAAGAAGTAGGAAGAAAAAAAAAGTAATGGAGTAAAGTATAGATACCTAAAAAGTGTACTTAAGTACAGTAATGAAGTACAAATATTTGACACCTCTGATTTCCAATATGAAAAGAAAAAGGGACAAAAGAAAACATAGAGAGGAAAACAACAAGAAATAGGGATAAGAAAAGAGGGACCAAAGGCAGAACAAATAATGTACACTCACCAGCCACTTTATTAGGTACCCTATGCTAGTAACGGGTTGGACCCCCTTTTGCCTTCAGAACTGCCTCAATTCTTCATGGCATAGATTCAACAAGGTGCTGGAAGCATTCCTCAGGGAGTTTGGTCCATATTGACATGATGGCATCACACAGTTGCCGCAGATTTGTCGGCTGCACATCCATGATGCGAATCTCCCGTTCCACCACATCCCAAAGATGCTCTATTGGATTGAGATCTAGTGACTGTGGAGGCCATTTGAGTACAGTGAACTCATTGTCATGTTCAAGGAACCAGTCTGAGATGATTCCAGCTTTATGACATGGCGCATTATCCTGCTGAAAGTAGCCATCAGAAGTTGGGTACATTGTGGTCATAAAGGGATGGACATGGTCAGCAACAATACTCAGGTAGGCTGTGGCATTGCAACGATGCTCAATTGGTACCAAGGGGCCCAAAGAGTGCCAAGAAAATATTCCCCACACCATGACACCACCACCACCAGCCTGAACCGTTGATACAAGGCAGGATGGATCCATCTGAATGTCGCAGCAGAAATCGAGACTCATCCAGGCAACGTTTTTCCAATCTTCTATTGTCCAATTTCGATGAGCTTGTGCAAATTGTAGCCTCAGTTTCCTGTTCTTAGCTGAAAGGAGTGGCACCCGGTGTGGTCTTCTGCTGCTGTAGCCCATCTGCCTCAAAGTTCGACGTACTGTGTGTTCAGAGATGCTCTTCTGCCCACCTTGGTTGTAACGGGTGGTTATTTGAGTCACTGTTGCCCTTCTATCAGCTCGAACCAGTCTGGCCATTCTCCTCTGACCTCTGGCATCAACAAGGCATTTCCGCCAACAGAACTGCCGCTCACTGGATGTTTTTTCTTTTTCTGACCATTCTCGGTCAACCCTAGAGATGGTTGTGCGTGAAAATCCCAGTATATCAGCAGTTTCTGAAATACTCAGACCAGCCCTTCTGGCACCAACAATCATGCCACGTTCAAAGTCACTCAAATCACCTTTCTTCCCCATACTGATGCTCGGTTTGAATTGCAGGAGATTGTCTTGACCATGTCTACATGCCTAAATGCACTGAGTTGGCGCCATGTGATTGGCTGCTTAGAAATTAAGTGTTAACGAGCAGTTGGACAGGTGTACCTAATAAAGTGGCCGATGAGTGTATGTCTATTGTATTAAAATTTCTTTCTATATATATATATATATATTAGTGCTGTCAATCGATTAAATTTTTTAATCGCGATTAATCGCATCAATGCCTGAGTTAACTCGCGATTAATCGCATTTTAATCGCACATTTTTTTTCCTGATTGAAAATCATTTAAATACTCTCGATGACATACAAAAAAATACATACAGGCTAGTTTTGTGCCGATGTTCTTTTTTTAAAATGAAAACAGGTCACAGATACTGATTTATGCCATAGAAACATATGGCAAGAAGATGGGGAGGCATGTAGTAAAAAATAACAAATATGTAGCCAAAAAAAAGGCCCTGAAAACAGGCTGATGTAAAAGACAGTCTTTACAGTTAATACAGTCTTTTGAACAAAGACAAGCATTTTACCCTACTGCTATAAAATTTAGTAGAGTTAACATTAGATGTTAATTAACCAAGATAATAATGAACAATTTTCAATCAATACATCAAAATCAATAGACCGACATCACTAGATGAAGGTAGTCTATGCTCTCTAGAAAGTTACTTTTCAGCCTCTTAACAAAAATGAGAACACACACACACCCACTCACCCACACACAGACACACCCACCCACACACACACACACACGATACCGACAAGAGTGCCGTAGCAGATTCCATTTCACCTCAGTAATCTGTTTTCTCAGCGTATTTCAGGTTGCTACTAGTTACCAGACACTCAACTTGTTTGTTGGTGGTGGGGCTTAAAGAAAAGGCACTAGCGTCACCCAGTGTATGAGCGTCTTTTTCCCTTGAGGAGGTCCGCTCTCGAAGCCTATGAGAAATGCATACACTGGGGGAAAATAGCCCCGCCTTCCCGCAGGCTGCAGCGGGATGTACTTGGAAAATTGTACCATAAAACCACATAGCGTTAATCTCACGTTAAAAAAATTATCGCCGTTAAAATGGCCTCGCGTTAACGCGTTAATAACGCGATAATTTTGACAGCACTAATATATATATAAATATATATAAATATATATATATATATATATATATATATATATATATATATATATATATATATATATATATATATATATATATATATATATATATATATATATATATATATATATATATATATATATATATATATACAGAGATGGGAAGTAACGAAGTACAAATACTTCGTTACTGTACTCAAGTAGATTTTTCTGATATTTTTACTTTACTTTACTACTTATTTTTATGGCGACTTTTTACTTCTACTCCTTACATTTTTACACAAATATCTGTACTTTCTACTCCTTACATTTTAAAATATTGTCTCGTTACTTTAGTTTTGAATCATTTCAATGGAGTTACCGTTATTATTTTTCACCTCATCAATACCAAATTCAATCTAATTGGATGGGAATCTACGTTGCATTTGACGCACCACTACAAGATGAATCGACAGATTCGGCGGTATTCATTGGCGGCAAATCATTGCAGCTTGGTGGCGGTGGCGTTAGCATAGTAGCATGGACGACGAGATGATTGAAAATGAACACAACGGAGATCTAGTCCTATTGGCAGACATCCATTTAAAATGTAGGCAACGGCATGAAAAAAGTGGTTTCTACTTTTACTTTTATACTTTAAGTAAATTTACAAGCCTGTACTTTGTTACTTTTACTTGAGTAAAGAAGTTTAATCAGTACTTCCACTTTTACCAGAGTATTTTTAAACACAAGTATCTGTACTTTTACTCAAGTACGGAAAGTGAGTACTTTTGCCATCTCTGTATATATATATATATAATGGGTCTTTTTTATGTGTTGTCTACTCAGTTCAGAGGGCCCATGCCTGTCTTTACCTAGGGCCCCAAATTTCCTAAATCCGCTCCTTATTCCCTCCCATTTACTGCGTCACCGGTAGTATGGGCGGCGGAGAAATTCAGAACCAGGAGAAGAAACAGCGTCTAGTTTTCCCTGTAGGACTAACAATGGCCAAACTTCGCCGTCTTAATCGCCAATCTCTAATTAATTTAGATTTAATATCCCAGACTTGCAGAACTATCAGTAGAACATGCAGGCTGTCGGCTGCTCTCATCTGGTTCGCTTTTCTCTTCTCTGGCCTGTGCTCCTCAGGTAGGACCTCCATGTTTCTATTTTTGCTGCTAAACTTGATTAATCAGATCAACAAATCGCATCTTTCGCTTTTTAGCTACTGTTTCCTTTTCTGTTGTTTTTCTCTGTGCGTCAAGTAGCGCGGCTGAAGTTGAAAGACAATGAATTAGATAGAAAGTTTCTCTTCGGTGCGTCAAACTCCATGTTGCTGCATCTTTTCAGTCATTCCGTCAAACTGAGTTGATATTTGCGTGATTTTATAGCCCAAATGTTTGCAAATATAATTAATGAAGCCTGGAAATCAATAGTCTTTATCGTAGTTATGATTAATCACAAAGAGCGTTTCCGCTTAAAGAAAAAGCCATTTAATTCTCCAATGTTCCTTTTTTTTATATCCGGGTCCTTATCGCAATATCACCCCAAACATGAGAAATACCATTATGATTAAAAACCCTATAGATTAAAAAGCTTAAGATTTATTTAGAATCGTATATTTATTGTAAATATTAAGTAGATTTAATCTGTTATAAATCATTATTGATCAAACTTCTGGAACTTTATTGTTTTATACTGAAAGCATATATCCACACTGCTATGATGCAATCATAACATAGTAAATACAGCATTGTTACACAGGGATTGTTTAATCCCCCTTTCAACAATAGCTTAGTTTGTAAAAAAACAACAACATATATTTTAATAAAAATGAAATAACAGTAGATAATGAATTAAATATTTCATATTTAGGAGAAATAGGTTGTTGAGGATAATAAACCATGTAAGCAATATCTGATTTTCTTGTTAATTAGGTGTTTATTAGTAATGCAAGAAAACTATGAAATGTAGGAAAAATATGTTAAGTGACCTCTAATTGAACCAATATATGTGTAAAAGTTTGGTCATTTATATTAAGACTTTTTTGACTTTTAGTTTTATTGTTCTGCTTTATTGTTGGGATGGCTGAGTGCTTCTAATTAGGGCTGATTATGGGAAAAAATACCTCATCCTCAAAGGAGATGGATTCGTCCTAAACCTGACATTTAATGTATCTTTCAAAAGCCAAACAAAAAAACTATTGGTTTGTAAATAAAAAATAATAATTACAATCTGTGCAGCACTTTTGCTAACATGTCTACTTTTTTTCCCCCCTCTGCAGCAGATGCTGCATCAAAAACTATAGTTGGTTATGTGAATGGAACAATCATCCTACCGTGCCAAACTAACCGCACGGACAACCTCCTCACGGTGGAGTGGTCGAAGGATAGAGGTTCGATTATCACCCTCCTGTTCCGCCATGGCCATGAGACTATAGAGGAGAAAAATAAAGCCTTCCTTAACAGGACCAGCATCTCAGTGGATGGAGTGAAGCAGGGGGACATCTCTCAGACCATTACAGAGCTGCGGCTGTCTGATGAGGGCCAGTATGAGTGCAGGACCAGGTTGGGGAGCCAGCTGCAGATTGAAGCAACACTGAATCTCATTGTGGGTAGGTGGTGGGAAGGTTCTTGACTGCTGAGGGGAGTTTAACAGCTAATCCTTGTCTATTTCATTTCAAACTATCAAATAATAACTTTTAATTGCTAAAGTTTTTACACCCATGTAATGCTTTTGTTTTCTTACATAAACAAAAGGTGGGGGCTTACTGTGTTGTTAGTCAGGATGAAACTCATTGCAATCCAGTTTATGTGTGTAATTCATTATGACCCAAACTCCACCAGTTTTGGAAAATACGCTACCAAAGCCTTTTTCACAACAGACCCTGCTGAAAATTTCAGAATTAAAGGCTACCATTTCCACAGTAATAAAGCATCTGTTAACCTACTATTCAATTCAATTCAGTTTATTTATATAGCGCCAATTCACAACACATATCATCTCAAGGTACTTTACAGTTCACCAGATCATACAGTCAGATTGATTCAAAGTTTTCTGTCTTAGGAAAACCAATTGATTGCATCGACTCATTCCCTCACACTAAGCATGCTTGTAGCGAGAGTGGAGAGGAAAAACTCCCTTTTAACAGGAAGAAACCTCCAGCAGAACCAGGCTCAGTGTAAGCGGCCATCTGCTGAGGCCGACTGGGGTTCAAGGAGACAGAAGCAGAGACACAAAAAGCAGCTGTAAAAGGTGGCACCGTCCAAGAAACACACAGCCAGGCAGACGAGCTCCAAGACAGCTCCCATGTCAGAGGATGAAGAGAGCACATCCACTCAGTCACGGTCAGAGAAACAGGACTACATTGGAAAACAGGCCGATCTCTAACATCTATAAACAAAGGTGTGAGAGTGAAGTGCTCTGTTAGGGACATAAGGAACAATCAGATCTCTGATATAAGATGGAGCTTGGCCATTTAAGGTTTTATATGTGAGAAGGAGGATTTTAAATTTTAAATAATAGGGGAGAATTGTGATATAAGAATTGGAAAAGAATTCCGTATCACTATTGGGTCTGACCCAATCCTTAAGACAAATCTTTGCTAGAATTTCAAAATAAGAACCCCAGTACTCTATTAAATAAAAGCCTTTACATTGTACACAGTAATTTATTGCAGCATGCTAGCACCTGTCTCTGAAATCGGATGACCAGAGCCTTTTCACAAGAGACCCTACTGGAAATTTTAAAATAAAAAGCTCTCTTTTCCACAGTGATAACTCGTTTTAAAGTTATATTGGGGAAAACAGCGTGTTTTAAAACCTACAAACCCATGAAAAATATTCTGATTTAATGCAAAGTAAAATCAGATCGCTGGACATATTTAATTCTGTGGTGGGAGGATCTGTCCAGAGAACAACTATAAAGCTGGGCATACACTGTAGGATTTTATGCCCATTTAGTGACGATTCTCCAGTAGTGTGAGAATTTTTTGATGGGGCCGACTTTCATCCTCATTGTGCGTCGTGCTTTCGTGTAGTGCACACTGGGTAACGAGGGGCGGTCAGCATCTCACAACCACCTCCCGATCAAGAATCGTGAGGTCAGCAGAAAATCAAACATGTTTGAAATTCAGTCGGCCGTCGTAAGGTCACTTTTAAACCCTGCAGTTTAGTCGTACACTTTGAGCTGTAGCTGCGTGCAACAAGTGAAAATATTGCAATGTGTATGCCCGGCTTTACTTCTGCATTTTACCAAAAAAAAAATGATTGTAAGAGAGGAACAAGTAAAGTCACAAGACATTGCTTGAAAAGAAAATCACAAGATCCTGCGTAGTGGCAGCAGCGGCATGCTGTGCGAGAGATGGTTAGAATTGATCGGATGATGTGTGGAGGTGGATGCAGGGCAATCCTGGAACAAAGTGTGTTAGAGGCCGCAAAAGAGGTTGGATAGACATAGCATTAACAGTCTTTATTAAATAACGTGTTCAGGAAAAGAAAAAACACATGGAATGCGATAGGTCGCTATATTTTCACATCCTTTTTGTGGTTCTTTTACCACCAGCTGACTCGTCTTCAATGTCAGTAAGTTAATATGGATATGGTTTAATAATATGTTAAAAAGCAGAACATGGTTGTAATTATGAGAAAACGTATACTGTAAAAAAAAACATAATAAGAAAAGAAGAAAAAATAGGCATCTAATGTTTGAGGACTTCTGGTTCAGATCAAATCATTATCATGTGACAGTTTAACCCAGTCAAGTCTAGGAAAATGATTTCTTCTCATCCATTTTGACTGAGTTTTAGCTGTTTTACCAAGAAAGGGAGGAATAAAACCCCTCTAGATGTACTAAATGGGTGGAGACCTATTGATTGTTATGCTTATAAGTATTGAAAACCAAGTAATAAACTTAACTTTAGATCATGCTCCATTTAGAGTCAGTATATAACATTAAATACTAATAAAATACAGTGATATTTGTGGTTGTAAGGTGAAAAAATGTGTTAAAAATTGTAGGATTTAAATAATAATTAGGGGTGAGTATTGGCATGGGTGTTGCGATACGATGCTTGTCACGATACTCGGGTCACGATATGATATTATCACTTTATTGCATTGAAACCATATATTGCGATTTTTTTCCTGTTATCAAAATTTAATGCATAGATAAAAAAGCAGTATATGTTCATCAGATGATATTAATGGTTGAGTTATTTTGGTATCCATGTTTTTTGGGGTTTAAGTGAGTCCATGTCTTCCACTGTGAACGCCTCAACTATAAAAAATATATGCTGCACCGCACAGCAAAAGGGCGCCACAGCACCATCTGCCAGAGTGGAGGAACAAAGGTAGCCCATTTTCCCTCAGTTTTAGGTAAAAAAATGTTCCTTTAAAAAAATCGATACTAGGAACTAAAAGATCGATATCATATCAGGCAGCCAAAAATCGCGATATATTGCCAAAATGATTTTTTCCCACACCCCTAATAATAATAGGAGGTTTTTAGCTCTTTGTATAGCAGTACTGTTATTAGGATGAAAGGATTTAGTTTTAGATGGTTTTAAAGAAGTTCTAAGACAGCGATCATCTTTAGAGAACCTACAGTTGAAAAATGAATTCCTGAAGCCATTTTCAGCAGCAGGATAAATTCTTCTTAAAATTGAAGATCATTATTCATTCTCACAATGCCCACATAGTATCAGTGCTGTTTTTGACAGCCATCTTATGGTACGTTCACACCGGACGCAGCAGGCGCAGCAAAAGCAGCGAGTTTACATGCAAAGTCAATGGTTGACGCGCGTCAAGGCGCAGCAAAAGGTCCCGCGGCGCGATTTGAGCAGCAGGCGCAGCGTGTCTGAGCAGCTGAAGCAGCGCGTCGGGAGCGTTTAAGCATCTAATGCGCGTGAGGCGCCGCAAACACGCTGCTGCTCGAGATGGAAAAATTTTACTTTTGCTGCTCGACGCGCCGCATCAACCAATCAGAGAAGCGGATCTGGGAGCTGGCCGTGAGACAGACACATCGCTGATGACACAGCGCGCTGTGATCACTCCTCTGAAACAGTTTATTGACGCATAAATTACCTTAAAATGCAGAAATCTGCCGGCAGAATATGTTCGCTTTTATTATCCTGGTGCCTGCAGTTTGGATTATTTAGATGAAAAACACCTACCAGCTGCCACGATGAACCGCGGGGAGGCTTTAGTCATTATGATATGTGATGATTTTAGTCCAGTTTTAGTCTACTAAAACTAGTTTTATGACAGTTTTATGTTAAAATTCATAAAAAAGTAAACCTTTACAATTTCCAATAACAACCAGATTCTTTACCTGACTGACAGCTATTGCCTAGATACCACAATAGCTGGGTATAGAATGCTGTCGTCCAGTTTATCATTGCTGTTGGGCAGAAAACTTTGATTTATAGAATTCAGTGTGTTACAGAAGCTGTGAAAATAGCAGATCTACTTCAAAACATCACATTGGTTAGTATGGCAGACAGACAAGCTGACAAAATGTACAATAAAGGAATGATTTTATACAAATAAGGTTTCCATCACAAGTTAAACACTGCCTTATCTACTATGAATTATGCATTATACACAGATCAAACAATCTTCATTACTCAAAAAAAAAAAAAAAACAACAAAAACTTTTTTCTTTCTGCTTTGGCAATTTTGGCTCTATTACTTTAATTTGCCCCTTCGTTACCGCTGCTCAGGGGTCAAAGTAGATTTAAATTCACAGGGTTTTGATATAAGAAATACAGAGAGAACCTACATAATTGCCCTGTAATGCCATGTGAATGAATATTCTGACAAAAATTTTGAAATATTAAAAGGAAACAGCGAAAATGTTTTAATGACAATACAAGGAAACATTTACATCATATTTAAATTGATAGAAACAAGAACAATGAGAGAAAAATATTCAAAGATCTATGTACCTTTTCACTTGGCTTTTTATCAAAAATAAACAATATGCAATGAAATATTTCTTTTTGGATGTAGCCTAGAACAAAAAAAATCTTGATAATTAGACAAAGGGATTTTTTACACTTGGCACAAGAGGAGGATTAGCCACATATAGTTTAAGTAGCGAGAGCAGGAAGAGCCGTTCTGCTGAGAGCGAACCACGTGGTGAAGAAAGAAGCGCAGACTCGCCATGCATTTCTGCACAAGCACAGGAGGAAGAGCAGAGTTTGTCAGAGTTGAGCACGCAGCATCGGATGATTTTCGATTATTTTCTCCCCTGCCTCTGCTGCCATGCTCCATCTGTGGTCATGCACCTCTGCACGCCAGGTGGGCTGTGTCCCCAAACAGGACGCAGCAGCATGGCTGATACCGCTAACATTTTTATTACCGTATTTTCACGACCATAAGGCGCACGGTACTAAAAGGCGCACTCTCAGTTATGTGTCCCATTTCTGTATTTAACACACACATAAGGCGCACCGGACTATAGGGCGCATTTTTTATATACAGGTACATGTCCTCTACTACCTTTAAATACCTCTACTGCGTATTTAAAAATACAGCGGGGGGAAAACTGAGTATGACTGTGCTTTATTCATGTATTTATTACAAAGTATTAATCAGACCTGGGTGCTGGCCGTGAGACAGACACATCGCAGATGACACAGCGCTGTGATCACTCCTAAATTAACTTAAAATCCTGAAACCTGCCGACGGAATTTGTTCGCTTTTATTACCGGTATCCTAGTGCCTGCAGTTTAAATTATTTAGATGAAAAACACCTGCCAGCCGCCGCGGTGAACCTGGAGGCTGCCCAGCCTAGAGGCTGCTGATGAAAGGATTTCTACTGTCGGTGCACCGCTGGTATGTGGGGGTCTGACCGCCTCCGACAGAAATAGATAATCTGGATGAACTGACTGCAATTATTAAGTTTTCAGGTGTATTTTCTCACTTAAAAACATATTAAAACTACTTTATTCCCACTGATCACAGCAAATATAGCTGCAAGATTTAGATTATTTAGATGAAAAAACACCTGCCAGCCACCGCGCTGAAGAGGAGGAGACCCGGCCCAGAGGCTGCTGTTGAATTAAGTTTTCAGGTAGAAATATAGAGCGGGAGCAAAACTGAGTATGATTGTGCTTTATTCATGTATTTATTACAAAGTATTAATCAAACCCATCAAAGTCATCCTCCTCTGTTTCTGAATTAAACAGCTGCGCTAAATCAGACATGCCAATTTCCCCTTCTTCGCTGTCAGAGTCACTTTCCGTGCAGCGCGGCTCCTCAGAAATAATGCCGGCTTTTGCAAAAGCTTGAACAACAGAGCCAGCAGACACGTTAGTCCAAGCATCTACAATCCATCCGCAAACGGTGGCGTAACTTGCCCCGGCGCTGCCTTCCACTTATCCTGAAACTGTGGTCTCCGTCTGTCATCCGTCGCTCCCACGCCGCTCGCAGCCTTACTTTGAACGGCCGCTTCAAACCGATGTCGAGCGGTTGAAGTTCCTTTGTCAGACCCCCGAGATAACGGCGAGCACAGCGTTCATTTTTTTTCACCATGTTTTTCACATCAGCTGTGAGATGGGCAAGCATGGAGTCACATATTAAAAGCGATGGTGATGCGTGGAAAAAAACCACCGGGTCTCCTCACATACACCTCCCTCAGCCACGCTTTCATCATTTCCTCATCCATCCAGCCCTTTCATTTGCTTTAAAATCATATGTCATCAGAGCGCTGTGTCTGTCTCGCTGTCAGCTCCCAGATCAGCTTCTCTGATTCGTTGATGCGGCGCGTCCAGCAGCAAAACTTCAATTTTTTCCATCTCGAGCAGCAGCAGCGCGTTGGCGGTGCGCTCCCGACTCGCTCAAAACGCGCTGCGGGACCTTTTGCTGCGTCTATACGCTCGTCAACCGTTAACTTTGCATGTAAACTCGCTGCTTCTGCTGCACCTGCTGCGTCCGGTTCACAGCGAGCACAGCATTAATTTGTTTCACCATGTTTTTCACATCAGCTGTGAGATGGGCACGCATGGAGTCAGATTAACAGCGATGGTGTGGTGATGAGTGGAAAAAAAAACACCTGGTCTCCTTACATTCAGCCACTCTTTTATCATCTCCTCAATGAGGTGGTCTCAAAAGTCGCAGTTGCAACACACATAGGGCGCACCGCACATTTTGAGGGGAAAAAAAGACGTTTATGTGCGCCTTATAGTCGTGAAAATACGATAGGCCTTGTCTCGTCTCGTTGACGAAAACTCACACCCATGAGTCAAGTTTTGGTCAACAAAGATCCATGTTTAGCTCGTCAGTTCTCATTATCGTCATGAAAAAAAAGGAGCGTCGACACAATAATTGAGTCATTTTTTATTAAAACAACACTTCACACTATGCAAGCCTACTGAAGTAATATATAATATATATATATATATATAGTATTCTTGATAGGGTATCATCTTCATCTTGCTTTTCCAGGTGCTGTATCTGAGCCACAGCTATCATTTGTTCCTCCGGGATTGACACTGGAGTGTAGAGCAGAGGGCTGGTCCCCAGAACCTAACATAACGTTCCTGGATGCCAGCGGCAATGAGATGAAAGCCGAACCGGCACATGTAGCTCTGCGGCCAGCTGGATATTTTACTGTGACAAGGAGATTGTCTTTACAGACTGACACCGACAGGTACGGCTTCTAACTAGGGATGCACGATATAATCGGCCCCCTATCTGTATCGGCCTTAAAACTGAATATCGGACATCGGCCACCCCACCGATATTTAACCCGATATTTTATCAGCTTCTGAGTTTCTAAAGCCAAAAAAAAAAATACTACTTCTTCTTCCTCCTCAAAAACTTTTTTACAGAGTTAAAAACTTCTAAAGACGAAGGGAGAAAATATTGATACATTAAAATATCACAATATCTTTATATGCTGATATATTGCCATATAAAAACACCATATCAATCTCTTTCACTAATGAAATATTTTTATATGTCATCGTTATGCTACGAAATCCCCCGAAAATTCACGAAATGTTGCCATATTTTTATATGTTGATATATTGACGCGGTATCGATCTATTTTACTAACAAAATCTCACAAGAATTTGCAAAATATCACGAGACTTTGTAACAGAACGATGAAATTTCACGAGATTTTGAAAGTAAAATAGATCGATACCGCATTTTTAAAAATCAATTTAATATCAGCATATGAAAATATATTTGAGTATATTATTTTTCAAAGTGTCAGAAATGGATAACAAAACTGATTTTTTCAATGACTACTTATTTTTGTCGAGCTTTAACATCGGTATTGATATCGGTTATCGGCTATATGAGTTTTAAAATATCGGCATATCGGATATCGGCCAAAATCCCAATATCGTGCATCCCTACTTCTGACGGTGTTTGCTTCAACCCAGGCGGCTGTGTTTAATATGAGAAACCAGCCTTTTGCAGCTTTGCTGAGATAACAAACTTCCTCTTTAGGATTCTCTGAATGAGGTCAAGCTTACATTTGCATCTTTTCTTCACAGAGTGAACTGCAGCATTTACCAACCGCTGCTAAATCAAAGAAGAAATGCAACAGTTTACGTTCCAGGTATAGTAATGCATTTAATGTTTATTCACATGCAGAGAAGGAGATTTTTATCAGTAGAGAGCAGTTAAACATTTTCTATTTTCACTTTTAAATCCAATATTTAATATCTTGAAAATAAGGCAACTTGGAAATGACGGGTGAGGAGTGAGACATTTTATGAAACAATAGGGACACTTCATCATGTTTTTACTGAAGTTAAAGTAAAACAGCACACTGTTCATTTTTTTCCTAATACTTCCTCAAGTAAACATAACTGAGTACTTTTGCCATCTCAGTTTTTATGTTACAAAAACAACCTTTTGTCTCTTTAAAAATTCATCAGTTTGTATTTTTTTTCTCTTTCCAATTCTTCCTCAAGCAAGAGGCCTTCTTGTGAGATTCTGAGGTATTTCCCTCTGTGTTCATTATCGATTCTCTGTTCTGATTTCAGGTAACTGCATGAAATATTGCTATAAGGAAATCCTGATCACAGGGGTGATCACAGGTGCTGCGTTTGTACTCGTCTACATTTTATGGAAGAAACAAACACTTCTTTGTAAGTCAGCAACTGGTTTATACTTGAATCTGAGCAGATAAAAACATGTCTATACTAATATCTGTTTAGGGATTAATTGTGTCATACAACTTCTTTCTAGTTCATAAGTGCAATGGAAGAATACCAATGTGGAAGGAATTTTAAAAAGTTTGAGTTTCAGGTTATTTTGTCTAAGTCCAGTCATTGAGAGCTACCATCCATTAACTTTTAGATGCATCCCTGAATCAAATCGGTGGTCAATTACCAGGCGTTTCACAAAGAGTTTCCTCAACCCCTGTTTCTGTTACCGTAGAAACATTCTCCCCAGAGCTATCCTATTCGGGAGTAGTTTTTGTTCAGTAAACTCCTAGTGTCCTCTGTCTCCGCTCTCCCTACAGCCAATTATGTTGTTTTATTTCCTGATTTAGTCATATTTTGTCGAAGTGTTGTCCATAAAAAAAAAAAAATAAGATTTCCTAGATCTGTTAGACAGGTTTGGTTTTAAAAACAAATGCATGTCTGTTTGAGGAGGACTTATTAAAGAATAATTGGCATCTTTTCACTGAGAATTATTTTCTTGGGGGAGAGGATTCTACCACTCAGTGGAAAGGATATGAGATTTATTTGTTTTTGGTTTGTTTAATATGAGCGAGATGCGGATCACTTTTAGGATTACTTCAGGGTTAGGATTAGGATTCACTTGGTGATAATCTACTGAGCCTACTAGCACAATCTGAAGCCAAACTTTGGGACTGATAAATGCTAACAACATCCATTTATTGGGATGATAACACCTGAAGCAGCTGCAAACAGCCACTTAATATTTACTGTGTAAAAGAAGACAGAATCAAGCTGAGGAGGAACCCATGAGATGGTGATGATGAACAGGTCTTACCAGTTATAACGTTTTTAGACTTCATCTTCACCTGCTGCAAGATGATTTTACCTAAATGGATACATTGATCCAACACTATTAAAGAAATTAACCTGTAATGTCATTGTGGGCACAACACACTATAGCAAGCCATTTTGATATGTATAAGCTTTACTGAATATGTATTCCTGATATCTGAAAAAACAGTTTTTCCTTGTTAAAATGAACAAAATTACATTCTACACATCTCAAATTCAGGGTGTCTAGAAATTTATTTCAGATCTCCATATTCCTATTGTTACTGGTCAGCATTTGGATTATTTTGATTTGGAAGAAATGTATTTCAGATATAATCAATGTATATTCAGTCAAACTAATACATGTCAAAACGGTCACTTAAAATGTGTAAAGGTTTCTATATAAAACTTAAATTATTTTTAGTACAATCTTTTTTTTTCTGAAATTCAATTCAGTTTCTGCTGAAAAAATGTCATTTACAAAATCTGTGAATATAGTTCAGTCTAGGAGTGTAATTTTGATCAGGAAGAATCTTATTTTATTGATCAACAAATGGAACAACAGAGAGGAGATTGCTTTTAATAAATGTAAAAACGGCCTGCCATAGCCACTTCATATAAACCTACACATTAACTCAAGGAATAATCTTATCCTTCGCTATCTTCCTCTGTCCTGTAGCGGTTTTCTGTGTCTTTTAAACACATTCTCCTTTTTTTTGTATTTCTTCATTAAAATCTCCAGGTCCAGGTGGGTGAAATAGGGACTTCCTGTTGCCTGTTGTCACTGTGACTCATTGAATCGAGGCTCTACTGATTATAGCCTTTTAAACTTGTTACGCACACACTTAACTCTGAGTGAAACTACTCATCTTTGATTAAACTAATTCATAGTAGCTGTCGTGAAACCAAATACTAATTTCCCGACCTTTGGCTAGATCAATTTAGAGTTGCCAATTTGCATGTGAGTTTTTAAACCTTCTTTTTGAAACAAACCCCAGGTCTTTGTTCTGAATGATATGCTCCTTTGTTTTGTCTCTTTCTTTTACTGGAAATACTGATTAATCAAGGTGTGTCTTGGTGTTGTCGTCATGGATTAATCAATCTGTTCAGTAATGGAAGACGAATGAAGAAAAAAAAGGAGCTGGCTGAAGTAAAAGCAGTAGCGGTGGTAGGGATAGAGCCCATCAGTCATCAGATTCAGGTGTGCTGGAGAAGATACACATCTAAAAGTTTCAGGATAGTAGCTCTCAAGAACTGGACATGGCCACCCCTGGTCTATTGTGTAAAAGGAAATACTGTGCTTTTTTTGCGACCCTGGCAGACAGATGTATTACACCTTAAAAATAGAGTTATCTTTTATTCCTGGAAAATGGAACGTATAGCAGAGGCTGCCTTGGAAAAAGGGAAAATGACTAAATGAGCTACACACCTGAGACGACCTCTGAAACTGCCTATTTGTTCCATTATTTTGTAAAAAAAAAAAAGTAAAGAGCTATTATCCTCGTTTAAAAACATAGTAAAACAAACAACAAAATATGACAAATGATTTTTTTTTCTGATACAGAGAGCAAAGGAGGGAAATTACAGAAATTAACAAAGTTTAATTTTTATTTACCTTTTTCCCTCAGTTCCTTTCTTCACACGTCGGACGCAGAAACCATCTCATCCAACACAGCAGGCCAATCCCACTGCAGCACCCAGGGATCAGGCAGAACCTGCCGGAAACACTTACTTAAGCAAACAAATCGAAGAGCTCAAGTCAAACATTTTTGAGAAAGACCAGCTGATTGCCAAATTAGAGGCAGACCTAAAAGAACTTCAATCCAAATGCAACACAGCTCAGCAGCAGGACCGGCCTGAAACTGACCAAAGTTCTTCACGTCAACAAATTAACCAACAAGGTAACACACCACCAACAGCCAGCTTGACAAGTCTCAGTGGAAAATCTGACCAGACATCCAAGGGGAAAGGCTCCAAACCAGGTTTTTCAGTGCAGCATCTGCCGACCGCTCCTCTGAAAAGTGGCACACAAAAAAGCCTTCCAGCTCTTTCTATAAGCAGCGGTGCTGCTTCCTCAGGTTCGTCTTTAGCTCCTGCTACAAATGAAAGCAATATCTTCCGTTCAGGGAGCTTTTCTGGTATTCTTCCAACTTCTGTCCGGTCTCCGCGCAGGTACACTATGCCTAATAACCGGTTCATGGTTCTGGCAGATCTAGCTGAAGAGTCAGAGTCTCTGATTTCTGAGAAGACCAAACAAAATCATAAGTAGGGAATTCTTACATAAGCAAAGTTATGTGGATGTACTTAATGTTTGCGTTAACAGTCTATGCATCTGAAAAAAAAAAACAGAAATGTATTAAGATCCTTCAGATAAATAAGCATCTGGTCAGAGGAGGGCTGACACCAAAGACGACATTCAAATATTTTCTTTCTACCATTTATGTTGGGAATTACGATATGATCTTTTTAACATTTGGCTTTTTAGAGTGTCATAAGCCTGCTCTGTCCTTTGGCCCACTTCAACTGGCATAAAACAGTTTCCAACTGGCATTGCCGGTTAGCATCTGGCATAACCCAGTATCCAACTGGCATAAAACAGTTTCCAACTGGCATTGCCGGTTAGCATCTGGCATAAACCAGTTCCCAACTGGCATTGCCGGTTAGCATCTGGCATAACCCAGTATCCAACTGGCATAAAACAGTTTCCAACTGGCATTGCCGGTTAGCATCTGGCATAAAACAGTTTGCAACTGGCATTGCCGGTTAGCATCTGGCATAACCCAGTATCCAACTGGCATAAAACAGTTTCCAACTGGCATTGCCGGTTAGCATCTGGCATAAAACAGTTTGCAACTGGCATTGCCAGTTAGCATCTGGCATAAAACAGTTTGCAACTGGCATTGCCGGTTAGCATCTGGCATAAAACAGTTTGCAACTGGCATTGCCGGTTAGCATCTGGCATAACCCAGTATCCAACTGGCATAAAACAGTTTCCAACTGGCATTGCCGGTTAGCATCTGGCATAAACCAGTTTCCAACTGGCATATTCAGGTTAGCATCTGGCATAAACCAGTTTCCAACTGGCATACCATATCCCACTTTTGGCTCTAGTTTCTGTTTGAAAAATCAGCTCAATCTATAACAAACTAGAACTAGATTTGTTATAGATCATTTTAAAAGTATTATTCAGTACAGCTGACAAATGTCAAATTAATAGTGCCAATCTTATATGCAGTTGCAGTGACAACTTTTAAAGATTGTGTCACTTTATTTTAGCTAGACAGTTTTTGCAGCATATTCTTTTTTATCAATATTAGGTACATTTTAATAGTTAGTTTTTACACTGTGTTTGTGATTGAATTTGTGAATATCTCTTTATTGATTCAGTGATTTGGTTCATAAATCTTTTTATTAAACCTTTATTACAAAGGTTTTGTTTGGGAAAAACTATTATGATATGATGTATTAAGCTTTAAGCATGACAGCTAAGCAGAGCAGATATGGATCAATGTCAAAAGAGATAAAAACACACACATATATATATATATAAATATATATATATATATATATATATATATATATATATATATATATATATATATATATATATAAATCCTTTAAACTTTACGTTTTACTTTTTTTGTGAAGTTTTGTGTGTTCCAGCTGTTTACAGCAATAAATATGTCTTTAAAGGTAAAACAACCACTATTAAGTTAAGCCTTAACTTTGAATTTTATTGGAAAAGGGAATTTTCTGCCCTTTTTTTATCTAATAGCACTGTATTTTAATGCTGCTATCCTCAATCCTAGTAAAACATATTGGATTTTAAAAATAGGCTAATGGAAATACTGTATAGTATAACAGTGAATCGGCCTTTTCTTTTTAGAATGCATTTTTTTCCTTTTTCTCTTTAATGAAATCAAGTAATGTCATTTTGGTGCTTTATATGTAACTGTTGTTTACCTGTAGATCCTTACGCTTTATAGTGTCAAAAGTAATGGTTACATAAATCACTGAATAATAAAATATATTTACATTTGTGGAAGTACAATTAAATGGGAAATACACATTAAATAAGTAAAAACTAGTGTTGCACCGACACCAGTATCGGACGGGGCCCCAATACTGCCCTAAAATGGTGGTATCAGTATCGGCGAGTGCCAATAAATAGGGCACCGATACCATTTTGAGAGCCATTAGTTTATTCAACTATTGTCACCCATTCCAGGTAGGCAATAAAAAGTTCTACTGGATTCACTTTGTATTAGATTTTTTCCTGCTTCCCAAAGGTAGGCAGCAGCTTGACAAAGCCATGATGGCAATTATTTTACATTATTATGGTATCGGTATCGGCCGATACTGCACAGCCATGTATCGGGTATTGGTATCGGGGCCAAAAAAATGGCATCGGTGCAACACTAGTAAAAACATTCATTTGTTTTCTCTTAAAAACAATAAAAAAACTTTCTCTGAAAATAAAGTAAATGTGAAAATCTAATGGAAATTTCAACTCTGAAATTTACAAATGAAGCGTTTTAATACATTTACTGTTTTTCAATGTATAGGTTTTATTTCTTTATTTCATTTTTTGGATATGCAGCCTTGCTCTGCAGTGGTACACTTTATTTTTTTAAGACCTAAATGTTATTATTACATGAAAAGAGAATGTTATTTGTGGTTTTAAATAAAGCTCTGTGGAAATGACTTTTTAAACTAGCATATTATTATATAAAGAGTTGGTGCTGTAAATGATAAGTTTTATCTTACATTTTACTCTTTTGCAACAAAACTCTTTGTGTTTTTATACAAAATGCTTTTACATTGTTTTCCTCTTTTGTTACAAAATTTTTCACACGACCAGTAGAGTCGTTTTGTGAGAGTTCATTGCACTAAAGCAATAAAGCTGAAAAAAACCAACTGTCTTTGTGTTTTTATTATTAAATTAGCCTTTGAGAACAACACTAAACTGCTTAGCACTTTCTTTTTTTAAACTTTAAGGAAGATACTCATCTAAAGGAGAATGTTGTTGATAGAGGAAATCCTCAGCATAAAATGGCTCCTGATAATGGTATGTGATTAAAATATTTTAGGCTCATTTTAGCTAAGCAAGCCTTAAAGCTCAAAATATTTTTAGGCTCAATTTGAAGGGAACATATTAGCTAATAACAATCTTTTGAAATGATATTCCAACATATCTATAATTAGGAAAAATATTCATATTCTTCACTTTTGATATAAAAAAATAAAAAAAAGATGTGAAACGATGAATCCATTGTTCCTCTTGCCTCTGTAAAATCACTGACTTTCTGATGGCTTCATGTAATGATACTTCTAATATGTGTTTACTTCTGTAGCATTTTTATAAAGCATAAATGAGGACAAAAGACCAAAATGGTAATAATTTAGATGTTAATGTGATTAACTGTGTCTAATCAATCAAACATAATTTAAGTTATGTAGAATTTGGAAGTAATTAATTTCAAAATGTAATCAATTGATTAAAGCAACCGAAAAAGTGGTGCTTTTATTCAGTAAAGTGAAATATGCTGTTTAAAATTAAATTGTGTGTAATTTAACAGTTTAAGGAGCAGGGAGAAGAAGCTGATAAAAACTGGTAAATGTGCAAACAAATCCAGACATCTTTATTCATTATTTGACATCAAATACATATAACTGCTGCAGGATGTTCTTGATCTGTATCAGAACCAACAAGAAGAACCCCTCTGTAGATTGGTAAATATGATGGAGTTCCGTAGAAGGTTCAGGCATTTATCAATCAAATGCATGAAAAATTGAAAAAACACCTGTAATGTGGAAGGTTTGTCTCTGCTGCCAACCTGAGAAAGCTTTACTATCAGATGCACGATAAGAAAAACATCCACCAACCTTGTGTAAATTATTTGTTCAATGATTCATATTTTAAAACCCTCCAGTGTCCTGTTAGTCTAATTACATCTCACTGTTTCTTATTCCCGCAGCTCACAGGTTCTGATACTACTAAGGCCAAAGCTATGTGTCCTTTGTGGTAAAGGTGGGCTTCTTTTCACAGTATGTTGGCAGGAAATTGGGGTTTAGAGAGAGACGGAAAGCTTGTAACTCTTTGTAATCTAGAACTGATGACGTTCCACTCATTAAAAAGGTTTCCTAAGGTACTAATTCAATTGAAATGGACAATCAGACCCTTCTGCTTCCAAGCTTCCATTCAGAGTTGGCTTTGGCACTATAAAGGATGTGTCATTTTGAGTTTCCAGATTAATATATGTTCTTTATTTAATTTTTTAAAATGAAAATAGACGTATAATTAAAGCTTACTTGTAGGGAAAGATTGTTTAAATACAATGATACTTTCATACCAAATGAATAAAAGAAAACAAAGTGTTAAGGGTAGTCTAGTTGATAGAACCTGTAATGCAGAATCTAACCACTAGATGGCAGCTGTCGTCTGGTGTTTTTATTAAGTGACAGGAAAACCTTGTTGACCTCTTACTAGGCTCTATGGAGAATGTGATCTATGGAGACTAGCTATAGTTCAAACAATGGTTACAATCTATCCATAAACAATGTTTGCAAATTGTTACCAAAACTATTTTAAATCTATTTAACTGTTTATTTTTTCCTTCCTGTATCAGGCCAACCATTTATTGATTAATATTGAATTTTAGACCTTTAGATTATCCCACTAAATCACTGTAGCAACTGTAACATATCCACTAGTAGGTTAGGAGTGAGATGACATGCTCTGTCATGTCATTCAATAATCTGTGGCATGCTGCAGAATTCAATTGAATTTTTTTAGTTGTGAGTATTCCTGGTTTTCAGTATTTTGGGATTTTGTGGATTTATGTTTGTGGGTTTTTGCTTCTGTTACCCTTTTTGGTTAAATAAATCTTGCAAGAAACCACCTTTAGCTTTTGTGTCTGCATTTGGGTCCTGTCAAACCTCCCCCCCACCTGAAAATATTATAGCAGAAAAACTTCTTAGTTTCAGCATTTTGCATTTTTCACAAAAAATATATGCTCCTACAAGTGTGACATGTTAGGTCAGCAATGCAGATGTGAAGAACCCAAACACTTAGCAGTTGATGGTGGCTAAGGCCAGGCTCAGTGTGTTATTACCTAATTTTAAGCTAATGTTGAGGTAGTGACTTATTTATCTGTAAAAATCTGTAATTTTTTTAAGTCGGTTTGATGAAATGTAAAAGTTCTGATTCAACATTTATAAAAAATAAAATAAAAAATTCAACAGGATTTTAATATTAGATGTGTGCAGTTCACCGAAATAAATAGCTGTGGTGTGACATGCTAATATATCCAGCTTCATTACTTTTAAAAAGTCTTTTTCAGAAACTACTCCCAAGAATTTCTTTTTTTACAGAATGTGAGAGTAAACATA